ACTCACCCTCACTCAAAGCAAATATGTTCGTGATCTTCTTAGTCGCACTGACATGGAAAACTCCAAACCTATCTCTTCACCCATGGTCTCTGGATGCAAACTTTCAAAGTCTGGTTCTGACAAATTTCTATATGTGTCTTTATACAGATCTGTGGTTGGTGCCTTACAGTATGCAACAATAACTCGGCCTGAAATTAGTTTTTCGGTCAACAAGGTGTGTCAGTTCATGTCTAATCCCTTGGAGCAACATTGGTCTGCTGTCAAACGCATTCTTCGCTACTTAAAGGGAACCATCTCCTTGGGTCTCCATCTCCAACCCGCTCCTCCTAACTCTCAACCCGCTTCTCCTAACTCTCCCTTGTCCATTCATGCCTACTGTGATGCTGATTGGGCCTCTGACCCTGATGATCGTCGCTCCACCTCTGGTGCCGCCATCTTCATTGGACCCAATCTCATCTCTTGGTGGTCCAAGAAACAAACTGTTGTTGCCCGCTCCAGCACTGAAGCTGAATACCGCAGCCTTGCTCTTGCCCCTGCTGAAGTTATGTGGATTCAAACCTTACTCACTGAATTACATGTCTCTCATCATTCGCCTATCATCTACTGTGATAACATGAGCACTGTTGCTCTTGCGCATAATCCTGTCCTCCATGCTCGCACCAAACATATGAAACTGGATCTCTTCTTCGTTCGGGAAAAAGTAGCTGCCAATCTTCTTCGTGTGGTTCATGTTCCGGCCATTGATCAGTATGCTGATATTCTCACCAAGTCCTTATCTCCTTCTCGGTTTTGTGAGCTTCGGTCCAAGCTCAAGTTGGCTGATTCGTTGTCTCACCCTACTTGACCTTGCGGGGGGCTATTGGAGTATATCTTTACTCCTTTGCGTTGTATTATCTTTTATTCTTGTATTAGTTTGTTACCTATTTGTTTTTCCTTCTGTTTTTCTGTTTTGATTACCTGTTCAACAGGTCAATGTATCTATAGCTTCCTTTGAAGCTATAAATAGTCAAGGTGTAATACTTTTGATTAGTTAGTGAAATTACAATTTCTTTCTCTGCAAAACTGCTTCCGCCTCTACTCTCTTCTTCTCATTCTATTCTCTCGTCACATTTCATTGTTGATTAATAGCAACATATGAATATTTAAAATGATTTGCACGAAGAGGTTTATATGGACCAACTCCCTACTTTACTACTTCTAGTGACTCTCACCTTGTATGTCGCCTCATTTGTTCTATTTATGGCCTAAAGCAATCTCCTCGTGCCTAGTTTGATCATTTCAGCTTGGCATTAATTGAGTTCGGTATGAATCAGTGTGAGGTTGACCACTCTATTTTTACTTCCTTCACTCCTCATCTGATCCTTGCACTTATTTAGTGATATATGTTGATGACATTATCATTACTTGTAATGACACCAATGGTATTTATCAACTCAAATCACACTTTCAGAGCTAATTTTAGATGAAAGACCTAGGTCCTCTAAAATATTTTTTGGAAATCGAGGTTACTTATTGAGTCTGGTATAGTTGATTGTCATTCCAATGACACTCCGATGGACCTCAACATCATGCTTTTTTCGGATCAGGGGGAGCCATTGAATGACCTGAAAAGATATTGTAGACTCATTGGCAAACTCAATTATCTAATTGTCACCAGGCTAGACATTGCATTCCTAGTATGGTAAGCCAATTTATCAACAATCCTTGTGATAGAGATTTGACAGCAATCATAAGGATCCTCAAATATATCAAGAAGGTGTTGAGTTGTGGACTTCTATATGGGGGCAAAGACAATTCCAAAATTGTGTGTTACTCTGATGCTAATTGGGCAAGATCACCATTAGATAGAAGGTCTACCTCTGGCTATTGTGTTATGATCGGAGATAACTTGATTTCATGAAGAAGCAAGAAGCAAAATACAGTTGTTAGATCCGGTGTGGAAACAGAATATCATGTTATGGCAACAACTACAAGCAAAATTACATGGCTACAACAACTACTCAAGCAACTCCAAATTGGAGAGACTCAGGGAACTAAACTCCAATTCAATCTTCCACGAGCAGACTAAGAACATAGAAATAGATTGTCATTTTGTAAGAGAGAAAGTGTTCTCAAGAGAAATCATATTTGAGTTCGTCCACTCTAATAACCAATTAGTAGATGTGTTCACAAAATCACTTAAAGGGCCTCGATTTGATTACATTTGTAACAAGCTTGGTGCATATGATATAACTTGAGGGGGAGTGTTAAGAAATTGTAAAGATTTATTAGAGTTAATCATATCTTAACTAATCATATCATATCATATCATATAAATCCTTATTTTTCATTATACATAAGAGTTATGTGTGCTGAAGATTGACACACAATTCTTAAATCACAACGGTTATAATTTAGAAGAAAAGAAAGGGGAAAAAAGTTGGAAAATGTAAAGCTTCACCTGTCATATATAATAACTGTGTCAGCCGTTGTAAGGTTTATCCCCAATCCCCCAGCTCTAGTAGAAAGAAGAAAACAAAATCTTGAAGAATTTTTAACATTAAAACGATCTATCCGTATTTGTCTTTCAGCTCCTCCAACCTTCCCATCTATCCTTTCATACTGCCAATGCTAATGTTTAAAAGATATGAAAGAAAATCAATATCACACAAAAATTCATCTGTGTAGATTTTGAATAAACCAAAGGAATTTACATAATAATAGTTGTTTCACTTACTTGGGTAGCTTGGATACATTGTAACTTAGGAAGTAGACTGGATTAATTATTTATCTCTTATAAATTGCATCTATATTTAATAGGTTTGCAACCATCATGTATGTAAATTTCTTGAGGCTAAGTGCATTTTATTTTTCACTCAAACAATCTCTAAAATATAATCTCCTTTGATATCAAGTCATAGCATGTTGTCATATGACTGACTACCTTGTAAGAACAGTAATCTTCAAGCAAATCCAGCATGCTCTGAAATTGGGAATATATGAGGACTCTATGTCGTTGCTCTTTAAGCTTCACCATCATCTTGTCCAACAACTGTAGCTTCCCTGATGATTCAAGCAATTGCCTATCAAATGGAAATGGAAAGGAAAATTATAGTAACTTAATCATAATATTAACCAACAAAAGTAGTTAATATTATTAATTTATTATCCAAATTATACTACTGTTAGAATATATTAGAATATCAAATACTTGTGTGAGAAAATAATGACTTTAAACATAACAATACTAAATACTTCATTTTGGTAACAGAAGTTCACAATCTTCAATTTCATATAAAAACAGAAAAGGATTTAGCACTAAATAAGCTAAAAAAGCAATGTTTCAATTTCAGACATAAGAGCTTACTTGTATGATTCTTTTGCATCGTTAACATCCGGTTGAACTCCCTGTAACATATAGGGATGACAACAGAGCTTACGCAGTTCCATAACAACATTGATAAGAGAAATCTGATTCAAAAACATACCAAACACGTAAGAACAATACTATTGAGTATTGACATGTTTTATCTTTTTTCTTATATGAATCTAAGGTTAAGAATAGAACACAAAAAAGTTCAGTCCACCAAAGCATGACTCTTACTTGTGCACCACCTTGGCGAGTTAATATCTGATAATTACGGGTTAAAATTGCCTTGTAGTATTCTTTTTGTTTGCTGCATAATTCAACACGTAAAATAAGTTCCTTTTTTGGAGGTAGTTCTGTCATGACATCTTTCTTCATTCCTGCAGGGGCGTAAAAAATTAAAATCCACATTTTAGCTATTCATCTTTTATAAACAAATTACTGCCTAATAAGTATATTATCCTAACTGTAAAATAATGTAGCCTCTGAGAAGCTGTCTTCTAGAATGCAAAAATTACACCAACCAAATCAAATTTTTAGAATTTATGGTAACTCCTGAACTTCATTTGGGAAAGGGAAGCCGAACTATATTAGTATCCCTTTATTAATTCAACGTCAATTTCTTTCTTCAATAGAAGTCAAGATCTCATACAAACTTATTGTGCCGATTTAAATATAGATCATTCCAACAACTTCCAGCAAATCATTATATCACTAGTTGATATATTGATCTACTGGTACAATGAGACCTACAACTTGTGCTAGGATCTACCGCTTCTCACGAAAGGGATCACAGGGACCAAAATTTCAACAAGATAAGGTTATTTGAGAGTCCACAGAATCAGAGAGGATAACCAACAATTTGCAATATGATCAAGTCCTGAACAAACAATCAATCACTTTATTAACATTGACTAAGATGTTTGATGTTATATATTCTCCCAAAGTAATAAAGGGTGATATAGATATGATAAACAAAAAGATTTATTTTCTTTCTCAATTATACTTAAAGATCTGATAAACTAGACAAATTGCTACCATTATGAAATCCGATAATCACCACTAGCAAGAAAAACAGGTTCCCCGTCATCCATGCAAGGAACACAAAATAAGGCAACATAAAATTAACATAGGGAATAAGCTCAATCAATATATAGCAAATCCTAAGCCTAGGCAGTAATCCTCACATTCAAATTAGGTGGAATATGCAACTAATTGAAGAATAAGATAGATGTATACTTCTAAGGAGATGTGGAGCCAACATTGTATGCAATCTTGATATTTGCTCTTCTCGATTAATATCCTTAAACTCTTTCTGGAACTCCTCTAAACTTCCAAACTACCAAAACCAAAAAAGAATCCATAAGATACTCTTGACCTTCATGAATATATTATATAACTTAACAATCAGACATTCTCTTAAAATGCAAGTCCCAATACCTACCTTTCCAGCATCGAGGAAGTGCATCAGCATAAAAAGTTCATCCAATTTGTTCTGAAATGCATCAAACAAGTTGTCAAGTAAGTTCAAACTTCCAATAAAAAAATTCAACACATGTAACCAGGATATATAAATCAACAATCTACTAGACAAGTCACCATAAGCAACTTTCACTAAAACTAGAAAAATCTAGCCATGTACATTAGATAAAAGTTGCTGATCCAGAACAAGAACAGAAATCAAAAGCTCTACATAAAGAGCAATAGTTTCAATATACTATTTATGTAAAAGATGAAAAAAAAAAAAAACCTGTTAATACATAATTATGGAACAGAACCTAGTATGCAGAAACACAATATCTAGCCATCATACATATAGAGATTCATTGCTAATGTAAAGTAGTGTAATTATGTTGTGTTACACGTGAAAGAAAAATGAGAGAAAAGAGTATTTTAATTCAAAAACAAAAGGCTTGAAGCCTAAAGTTGGCGTAGGAACAGACTAAACAAGATGGATACAAGTATGTGAATTATTCTAGAGCAGTTCCCCTGACTCTACTTTCATTTCCAAGAGTACCCTTGACTCCCCTCTGCCACTTTTTATAAGACTAGTAACTTCCTCTAACAAAGTAACAACCTCTCCAATGACTTCTAATTTACTTTATTTACAATTGAGCTTGATTAGCCCCAGGTTCATCCCCCCCCCCCCCAAAAAAAAAAAAATTTTC